GGGGTCTGAGGGGTCGGGGTGCTCGGGGGCGGGGCTGGGCCCGTGTGAAATGGTGCTGTAATCGGGCAGGTTTAGGCCAATAATGGCACGAAAGCACGTTCTTCTGGAAAACTTTGCCCCGTTTAACTGCTGTTGCATTGTGCTGATGTTACTAGGTATTGTATCCTAGTAAATAGTTTCCGTCTATGTTGGAGCAGTCAGATGTGACCAAGCCGTGCCCAGACCAGCTGTCTGCCTGCTTCCAGTGAGCAGCCATGAGCCACGGGTTTGCTTCTGCTCCTGAGCCACCTCAAAAGCTCATTGTCAGTTGAGGACAGTCACTCATGAATTCCTATATTATTGTAATTTCACATGAGTAGTCTAATTGAACAGGGTAAACATTACAGGCTACTAGTCCTTAAATAGTAGATGTCAGGGCTGAAATGTGTTGCTGTTGGAAGTAAAGCTTTTTTCTTGCATGGAAGAGGAAAAAGTGCATAGAAAGTTCTCCCTTTTTTTTGTTTTGTAGCCCCATTCCTTAATTAGACTGCAGTAAAGCAGTGGTGCTGTTCTAGTGGTGCTTCTCCTCTATGTGATGCTCTCTGGTGTCCCAATACCTGTGTGTATTTGTAATCAAGGCCATGTTTTAATTTATATTTGAGAAGTTGACATAAAGGAAGTAATACTTCTGTGTAGAAATGCACGCAACACTGTGGAAGTGTAAATGTGTTCCTTTAAATTTACTCGAATGTGTTATGTTAATAAACTGATGTTTTTTAGGCACCCCCAAAAGCCACACCAAAGACTATAGAGAATCAGAGGGTGTATGACGAAACAACTGTAGATCCCAATGATGAAGAGGTAACTGCTTGGTTTTTGCATCTGCTGTTAACAGTGGTTTTTTTCCAAAAAGGGACATAGCACGGATTGATGAAACTTAACATTCACACTTTCTTGTGAAAGTGTTGATGAATTATTTTTTACGTATGATGGGTTCACTAAGAGGTGATGTCATTCTTTTATTATCTGCATTAGATTGATTGATAATAAAACCTGCCAGTGTTCATCACACTAGATTATTAAAAATGTAAACCCCGTATGCCTGGTGATAATTAATTACGGGATAGATATTTTTCATTTACATTTTTCCTACTAAATCAAATGTCATCAGAACTTGAATCAGATGGAAAAAAATCTTCTTCAGTTATTTCATATGTGGTGGGTTAACAAGACTTCTGTCCTTGCAGGTTGCTTTTGATGAAGCAACTGATGAATTTGCACCATACTTCAACAGACAGACAGTTCCCAAGATTCTTATTACAACATCAGACAGACCTCGTGGGGTATGTATGTATGTTTTACTTGGAGAATTCTGAGTAACCAACTGGTTATAAGATACCAGCTGTTTGCAAGATACCAAGGCTTTCACACTATGGTTGGTAAATTAAAGATTAAAATAATAGCTTTCACTTTTTTTTTCCTGCTATTTTATTTGGTAATTATTAATAACCTTGTGTATGTATGTAATGTTAGGGATTTTTTTCCCCTCATGCATATATTATTGTATGCAAATGATCTACATTGCCTAATTGATGGGATAACTGACATTTGTGTAAACCATAAAATAAGTGGTTCTGAAGACAGGAAAAAGTACACCTCAAACAGTTTATGTGGAAACTCAGTACTGAAGTAATAGTTATGTTGTATTTTGAAATTTTAAGACCTTTTTGTAAACCAGTGTCCTTAATAAATAATGAATTTTGAGGTTATACTTTTGGAATGTTTCTGCTTTTCTATCATTGAGGGAGGAAAGCAAAATTATTTAAAAGAAATAAGAAGTCCCTGGTGTGCTGCAGTCTTTATTGCAAATATGTTTTTTTTTCCATTGACTGAATTAAGCAATTTAATAACTTGTCTTTAAATGTTTATGAAGATACTGGGAGTAACCAGGGAGGGCAGTTGGAACTAGCAGCCCTTCATTCCTCTACTAGTTGAATCTGGTGCTGTGTTTACCACATTGCAATGCAACTTGCCTGTTTTGCAGAGAACAGTGAGGTTTTGTGAGCAGCTCTCCACTGTTATACCCAACTCACACGTCTACTACCGAAGAGGACTGGCTTTGAAAAGAATTATTCCACAGTGTATTGCAAGGGACTTCACAGATTTAATTGTCATTAATGAAGATCGCAAAATACCAAGTATCCTTTTATGTATTTATGACAATAGATACACTGGCTTGGGGCATATTAGGGGAAGAAAGCCATT